TACTACTACTACTACTACTAGTTGTCCATGTGTTGGTATACTGTTCGTGGTCTAAAACGATACCACAAACGATACCCTGACGATACCCGACAATTTGCTTGGGAGGCTGTTTGTGGGACCATGCCGATTCGCTTTGTACAGACCGTGTTTACCCATGCCCATTTCCAATGAAGCACGCGGAACACACGTCTGCTGATGAGTCCAATACCCCACGCTGAAACCGCCCTTCACCCTTCAAAGAAGACTGCTTTGGCTCCGCCTGGAACGGCTGATTCGTCTAGTGCTTGCATCGTATGGATCCAAGACTGCCACCGGTAACTACTTTGTCAAGTCTAACATGAGTCAAAGACACAGTCATGTGCCCAAAATCTTGTAAAACGAAAGGGAAGACCCAAAAACGATACCCCTTTTCAAGGGCCCGCTTCTAGGAACAATTTTGGTGCGGCCTCATATACATACACATATACTTGTTTGCTGTGCATTCTGGGCCAAGCCATACAAAGAGACATTTGCCATAACCACGATGCGAATCTCAGTGATAGCAATTCCCAGCTGTTTCAATGCAAGGAGAAAGTCATACGAACGACATTTTGTTTTTGTCGCATTAAATCATTAGCTGTGCCAGTGGAGCCTGTTTTGGGGACGGCTTCGACTTCTGTATACTTCTGTTGCAATAAATCACGAGTGTGTCAGAGGATGCGAACAGAAGAATTATGTTTAATGAATCCCTGGAAGATTGTGGGACTCATCTAAGTAATTAGTCTATCTCGCCGTGACCCAGCCAACTGGCGAGGTCAAGAAGTGGACGCGCAATAAGCACGCGATCATGTTCCAGCTCAGTAACAAGACTGTTCAGGCCGCCGACTAAGCAATGCAAGCCCGATCTCCATGCTTTCACTTACTGCTTGCTCGACCAGGTTATCTTCTTTGATAAGACGGAGGCAGTGCTGTCATCACGGTCCCATCTCGTGACCTATGTTGACAAGAAGGGCCAGGCAGCGAATTCAGCTTCCAATGGCAAGACAGCTTCTTGAGGTTGGGAAATCGGAAGTTGCCCCGTTCCACTTAGAAATAGAAGCATTGCTTGGAGAAGGGGTTGTTAACTGTCAATAGATTGCGTCAGCAGATTCGATGGAGTGCTACAGTGAACTCCGGCAAGTTGGAACATGGATTGAGATATAGTTAAGGGTGACTGCTGCTGGGATACCTTCTGCTTCAACCGCCGGGCATCAGGATGAGGGTTTCCAACTTTCCCGCTTTTACCTCAGACTCCACAAAAGAATTATGTTGAATATGGAAGTATCAGCAATTGCAGGACTTGCTCATGTCATTCAGCCGCCCTCATGAAGATTTGTGAAACACCAAAAAGACTGCTCCCACTGTCAAAAGGTTTGAAGTGGAAGAAGAGACAGGCTGCAGCAGAAATTGGTACGAGAGCCCCGGGGGCATCGAGCACAACTAGGGAAGCTCAGACGACATTCAGCCGCACCGCAAGCACAAATGAGAAGATGCAAAGGCATGACATGAGGTCGTGAGGTGTGAGCTGTGAGCATTGACGGAACCTGAGCATGTCGCTTCCGTCGAGTCGCTTGCGCAGCTGCACATGGACAGGTCCAAGCCTATCCTCTAACGAATGTCTTGGACGTTCCTAGCGCAGAGCTCGCCAAGCGGCTTCGGTACACCAAGGACAGGACCTGTGCAAATCACATCGTTTACATCAAATAGACGACGACCACAAAAAAGCAATGTTTCGTGCATCCGCTAAAGATGGGTCTGGGCATGGAAGCCTTGATGTCGCACCGTGTTTCTGACTCTGTCACTGTGGCACACTCTAGCAGCCTCGACCCGGCGGAAGGACATCCTGGTGAATCTTCTTGGTTCTCGACTGCCTTCTGGATTTCCTGGCTTGCTCTCGGCCGGGATGCACTGACATGTCGCTCGGCATAGTCTCTTCTCTTTGTGTCTGGGAGGCCGTGCTGCTCAAAGTAGATGTGTCATGATCCTTCTGACTGCTTCTCGGAGGTGATTCCACGAATTTGACAGGCATGTCCTTACTCAGCACATGCGGTGCCGCCGGCGTCAATTATCGTCAATTGGTTTCCTGCGGGACTTTGCGATCCTACGGTGTGCAGATGAAAATGATGCACCCGTGCATGATGAAAGCCTGTGCCAGGACACACCTCAGCGCGAGATGATTGAAGACCGCATCCTTCTTCTTTCGGGCAAACACAGGTAGGTCTCTAGGTTGACAATGCTAGCAACATGGTTGCACAGCCCTTCTGGTGTCGGAGCCCTATAATCTGTAATTTGAAGAAGCGCTTAGAGTCGATTTTCTCCACATGGCTACAGGCGGACTTATGGTTGGAGTGAGCACAGATAAATGTCATTGCGAGAAGAGGAGCTGGGCATGCTGCATTGCTTGCAGGAAATTCGAAAAATGGACCGGCTTTCAGTGGAGTCGCTATTTCGACTAGGTTACTTGTGCTGTGCGTCGGTTGGATCTGGATTATTGTCGGCATCCAGCATCTAGAAATTTCATTCGCTTGGAGATTGCGGGTGAGAAATATCCAGAGAAAGTATCAAGCTCCTGCGACATACAGCTCATGGCTCGCTGAAAGGATCCACTTCAAGAGCGGGAGCGTTGGGGTACCTGGAAGGTAGGAGGTCTTCTGGACACCGGGAGAGCGAATTCTTCGGGGATTACAAGGTTTCCTAGAAGGGCCTCGCTAGGCCTTGCTCTCACCTCCCAAAAAAAACCGTTTCGGCTCTCCCGAAGAATCCGACTGCAGCCTGGACACACGAAGCGGCGACCTGAGAGGGATCGAACTGCCTGGACTGCACTTCGTGCACTGAGAAAACTTTCCATCCTGCCTCACGCTGTCTGCAAAGGAGCGCGAATCCAAGCATGTCGGAGGCACGTGTTCGGCCAGTGCTTCCCCGAAACGAAGATGTTGCTCATGTTGCCATCTCTGCCACCTTGCATCCTCCACTTCATTCTGGAATTCCAACTATACCTAACAGGCACTGCCATTGCCATTGTCGGGTTTCGAGACGCTTGCCCAGGAAGCCACGAGTGAGAGCGGACCCAGAGCCCCAGAATTCCCGAATCTCGACTTCCTGCTTGTCCATGAGCTGCACGAGCTGTGTCGGAACGTAAGCAAGCCTTGCACGACCCACCCTGGATGGCCAGAAGCGCTAGTCGTGGGCCCGAGCACCAACACATTTCAAGCACAAGAGGAGCAAAGCAGAATCCATTCAGCAACGTTCATCCTGACCAGGTGGAAGAAACCCTGAACCGCATCAAGACCCACAAGGGTGTCTCAGGCCATCCTTATATTCCGTTTGTGTTCTAGAAGCCTTCTGGGGCTCTCAGAGCGACCGGTTGCAGCCTTACGCGAGGCATTGTCATCGTGAACAGCGAAGGAGTCCCGATGCGATCGACGTGCTGCAGCCAAGTAGCCTGTGCTGTTCTGCTTCAAGTGCCATTGCATGCTGCAACCTCGGGCTTCGCCAAGGCTAGACAGCAAGCAAACATTGCAGTACTCGGCTCTGATCTCCCAGCTTGCCGCGAAGGATTGATCGGATTGATCTAGCAGACTCGTGCCGAATCTGGTGTCAACTGTATTTGATATTGCGGTGTGCTTACCAGTGCAGCAGGCACGAAGCGTGGTGAGAGAACTGGCACGCGTCTCATTCAATGGCCATCGGAGTCATTGGAGTCAACAGAGTTGATGCTTCAAATGCCTGCCACAAGGACCCTCAGAATGATTTGACCTTTCTCAGGACGCGCCATCGTTACGTTTACACAGTTTAGACTGTGCGTCGTGCTTCCAAGGCCAGTGTCACACGTAGGGCTTTTGACCACGAGGATCCGTTCCAAGAAGCATGAGATCATGGTCGCCCCGGATCGAGCCCGCGGCTTACGTGTACAAAGTCTAAGCTTTTCATCATCTTCCAGATTGCTGCCTTTCGCATTCATCCACTATCGCAAACCTTCTTGCTTGAGGATCGCAGGACTTCATTTAGAGACGAATTAAAATCTTCATTTTGGATTGTGCAAGCTCCGTGTCTTAGGAGCCGTCAGCGCCAGCCAAAAGGGAAGCAGATGACAGCTAAAGCAAAAGGCCAGCAACTACTGAGTTACTACTGCAACTGCAAAAGACAAGGAGATACGACGGAACACGAAGAGCCCATCTCAAAACGAAGTGCAACTTTACAGATCAATGAAATGTTAGGCTGGCATGAGGCCGATCGGGGGGGCGGCGGGCAAAGTGTCATCCGTGGGCCTTGATGGAGACACGCCCCAGTGAGACATCCCAAGAAAAGAGTTGGCGTAAGTCATTCACTCAGGTCACCCCGGTGAGCAAGAGCAAGATGATTTTGGTAGCCGCTCACCTCACGTACCGTCAGTCCTGTTGTCATACCTGTAAGGAAACAGCATTGCGATGCTCTCAGGCCTAATGTAAGTGCAGCCTACCATAAGTGCTTACCACAACTGTGTCCTGGGAGAAGTGGCGGCTTCCCGGCCCGCCTCTGGGGCATCATCTCCAGCTGTAAACAAGCCCAGGTAACCAAAGGAGAGCTAGCTGAAATGTCGGGTGGATGTCGTCGTTGGCAGGTGATCCACGTAGTACGAGAGATCTTGCTGACTCGGCGATCGACACGGAAGCTGCAGAATCACAGCCTGCTACGTAGCAGCAAGGAGATAACCTAGGCCGACCCCCTAACGGCCGAGAGGGCACGTGTCGTAACAGCGCATGATCATAGCCTGAAGTCTCACAGCAAGCCAGCTCAATAGCTGCCGACAGCGAATGCTAAGGAAGGAAACGGCTCACTGCTGTGCTCGGGCCTGTAAAATCTTCATAAAGATCGATATTTCAATCCCTCCATCACGGCAAAGCCAATGAACAAGCATTGTTATGGATCTTGGCCCTTGGATTTTGTGGCCGAAGGCTCTGGGTTATCACGACTCTTGCCGGCAAACACCCAACAACGATTTGGCCCATTTTTGCGAGGGGGCCCCCAGCGATGCTTTGCAGAGGTGGGTCGGGGGCAGTCAAGCTTTGTCGCGCCCACCGACCCCGCCGCCATGGCCCAGCCGGTAGCTTGGTAGCCCGGACCTATCGCAGTCCAGGAGCTGGAGCTCTGCTCTATGCGGAATGTGTCCGGGGGGCGACAAAGGTCGGGCGTGCGGAAAGCCGCTTTTTGGCCACTATATAATCCAAATGAGGGATTTGGGGTTTCCAAAGCGGTTCTGAAAGCATTCTATACGGGTTCTAGGGTTTTAGGGTTGGTTTAGGGTCTCCTCGATTTGTATAAGGCTTCTGTAACAGTTTGCATTTGCGGGTTTGGGTAGTTTCCTTACCAAGGCTAAGAACAGGAAAACAGGCTTGCTGTTTGCTGAAAGTGGTTCAGTCGAATAAAGATCGGAAGCGTTAGAAGTCTTTAGCACTTCGGTTAGCATGCGGTGTTATTTAAGGCAAATCGGTCCAGGGAAGGTCTGCCGACAGTGTCTGTGGGGCTTCGGGGATGAAGAGGGGTTCAGGCTTTCGGGAGTTTAAGGGCCGTACAAGCACCACCTTGAACTCTCATGCCTGCATTGCAAGGCCAGGCAGAGCGAGGGAGGGCCCGAAAGAGGAGTGGGCCGGAAGAAGAGGGTGGAAGGGCAGCAAAGTACATGAGACGCAAGAACAAAGGCGTTCAATTTCACCAATTTGCGACTCCAACGGCGCTGGGAGGTGGTAGGGCCTGGCTTAAGACCTGCAGTGTCGCTGAAACCATGTTTGCAAACATTGGACAGACACAGCTGCGCCGCATGGTTGCGCTGCCAAGGACTACATTCTGATCGTCATCCAAGACCCGAACGCTGATCAAGGAAGCTGAAACTGTAAGGCCAGTGGAAGATCGCTTGTGACCATGCTGCTTATCTGGCATAGACAAGTGAGAACATCATCAGTACACTGCTGGCCCTTGTGTCACGGCCTATTGGGTCCAATGTGTTGCAGGCGTTGATCATAAGCATCTTTCGCAAGAGCTGACCCTGCCAGGCAGCATGCGTCGTGTATGTTTCACCCACAAAGCAGCACTATCCGGAACAGTGCATGCCCCCAGCTGGCCAGATACAAGGAATTTTTACTGACACTATTTCGGTCGCTGCAGAATTCGCTCAAGTGCCTTGCATGACCGTGATGTGCAGCGTCCTCAAATCTGCTTTCTGGGAGCGAAGTTGTCGATGCTGTCTTCTGCTGCAAGCTCTGCATGTGGTGCTTCTGTTGCCGCTGCTGCTGCAGCTGCTGAGACATGTCTTCCACATACGAGGTCAGCAAACATGCGCAAGCGACGAGCACCAGATGAAACGAACGGGCGAAAGGGCTGGGCACGACTCTCTTAAAGCCAGGAGAGAATGAAAAAAAGCCGGAGCGATGGGCAGCACATCCAGTAGCGAGGATGGAGGCAGACCGTCGGTTCGTGATGAATCTCACATCGGCAAAATGCACGCATGGTTGGTAACTTGATTTCCGCATCACCGGTGATCCGAAAATCCTTCGAGACTCGACCAGGCGTCTGCCTTAATACCAGTATCATTTGTCCAAAGACCAACCAGTGCTCATTGAGACATCTAGAAGCCTGCAGTGGCTGAAGCCTTTAAGGGTAGCTTGGCAGCTAAGATTTTGCAACACGGCTGCATCGAATTACATGGCCATGTTCTTCGCCCAGATGCTTCTCACAACACAGCTTTGTACAGCAGAGACTGCAGATGCAGAGGCAGCGCCAATTTGATTCTTCGACTGGGGACATCGATTCAAGAAGCACTGAGGCTTCAGGGCTCATGAAACTCTTCTTGCTCCGTTGCGGGAAGCGTTGCATTGCAGGATGAAGGTGTGTGATCGGGTTCAGATGATCCGTGCACAGGCCATCGAGGCAGCAGATCACCCAGGATGGCCGCAGCGGAGTAGCTAGCCGTGTAGCTCACTCTTGCCCAACGCCGAAGTCTCGCAAGTCACCAATGATATTGCTGCCAATGTTCAGCACACAGGCTTGGGAAGAAGAGGATGCAGAGCGAAGCGGCCATTTGTCCAGGTGGAGCTGCATCCTGCTGCAACAGACCGGGCACACATCGCAACCAAGGGCAGTCGAGTCCTTCAGAACTCGTTGAAGCCTTCGCCTTCAGAAGATTGTTTCCTTGACACATGAAGCTGTGGTCTAATTAATTGGTGATAACACTTTCTTTTTGCTCCGCTTCTCAATTGCCCAAAGTAGCCAGGTTGTGGCGTGGTGTTGAAAGCAACCGTCCTGCGTTACTGTACACCATGTGATTGTATGTTACAATGTCACGGTCACGGTGTGCAGCAGCGGCTGACGCGGTGTGTGGGTGGACACCTAGATACACCTAGCTAGGTCTAGGTGTAGCCGCAATGCTCTGGTCGGGGCAGCCGGGAGAGAAATGGTGGTGGAAAGAAGAGGAGGAAAAGAAATGTAAATGGAAAGAATAAGAGAAGAGGAGGAGAAGGGGTCGGAAGAAGGGGAGAGGGAAAACTGGTGGGACGAAGACGAGAAGAGGAGGACTGGCTCAAATGATCTTGCATGTGTTTCCCAAAGCGTCAATGCAAGGATCCTGAGATCTGAGATGCTCTCCCCGGTTCAAGATGAAGGATTGCAGCGCGATTGGTTTGTCTAGAGTTTAGGGTTAGATGTGCAGGTGAGAGCATGAGTAAGAATACTTAGATTGAACTTCAGAACTACCGCTTGATTTAGTTATTTACTCAGCACCTTGCTTGTGCTGCGCGGCTGCCACCACGCGTGCTCGTGGTGAAAATGCAAGTGCTGCGCTGTATCCGAATTTTGTAAACATAGAGAATGCCGACACACAAATTCTGGTCAGTTGACATGGTGCGCAAGAACGTCCTTAAATGATGCCGCGATTGCGCGGCCGACAGCGTTTGATTTGTTGTTGTGATTGCTGAACGTTTTTATTGTGGCACTGCTGCAAGGGGCAACAGTCATGGAACATTCAACATCTTGTGGCATCAGGTTGTCACACTACTTGTATGGCCGATCGAGTTTTCGGCATGACCGCCACGCACATTTGACCGCCGCTCACATTGGTATGCCAAACAGCAAAAGGCGATACAAAGATACTCAAACACTCCACTTACTTGGCTTGTAGTGCCGAAAGATAGGTACAAATCAAACATGGCACATTAAGCTGCTCTAGGGTCAATATATAAATCGTCCCTGAAAGCTGCTTGGTCCAACTCTGTTTCGAAAAGAAATTGAATCGAGGCAACACTCACAGAGAAGTTAAGCGTCGGAAGGTCAGCTTGGGAAATGGTGACTAATTGCAGTGTTCCTGCCTTCCGGATGCCTGCGACAGGCCGCGTGTTCAGCGTGTGGTCACCCGGCTTCTGGAGGCTCAATTGGAGGCTGCTGCGGGTCAGCAAACAAGCTTTCTGGCCGGGGCAAACACAGTCTATGTGCGAAACGATGCTGCTAGATGTACGTTTCTGGTGTTTTTCGACAGGTCGTTCCTGTCTAAACGAAGCTACAATTCCAATGTTTTGAAAATCATGCGAAGGGCCATGGAAATTGGTTTTGCAAGGTTTACGAGTTCTTGAGAGTGTCTGCATGCGCTTGCCAAATCCTGCATGTGCGAGCCGTGAGCATCAGGCAGCCAGTGCGGCAGCCTCTCGGGCCAAGCTTCAAGTAGCAAAGGAGCAGGCTGCGTTGGCATCGGGCGCCGGTTGATTGCTGATGATGAGGAAGTTTATCTAGGCTGCAGATGCCTGCACAGGCGAACATGGAAAAGGCGGGCAGGCGAGAAAGAGCCGAGTCCCCGATGCAGCATGCGATGCGATCAATATCTTCAATGTCCATCCACAGCTGCTCCAGTAGCTGGTTGGCCCAAGCTGAGGCAGAGATGCGATCGCTGCCACCAGGAGGAGCAACGCAGGAGCTTCGTAAAAGATGGCCACCATTTCCAGTCTTATTAGAACTCCTAATGCTTCGATAGAACAGGAACACCTGGACCGATGCACGGCCTTGATGCTAGGCTGTGCGGCAGGCCAGCGGCCTTCAGCTGATCTTATGTACAGGGTCGAGCAGAGAGCAGGTCCAGTCATGGCTGGCATGATGGCCGGGTACGTGGACGTACCGGTCACCTGCTTGACAGCAATGCTGCAAGACAAGGAGCGAGGGCGCTTAGGTGCTTATGCAGTGCTGACAATTTGTTGACCGTAAAGGATCTTGTGATCGGTAGCCATAACGCCAATCGAAGGCACACGAGCATCGACACACAGCAATAGCATCGACACACAGCAACTGCAGGGGCAAGGCATCGCCATTGTCAGAACTTTCACCCAGCACAAGCGGCAGCGGCAGCGGCATCAGCAGCAGCCATCGTCGTTCGTCGCCTCATCGTCGTCTTGTTGAGCAGCATCGCCGACGTGAGCATGACAAGCTGTTCGGCGGAAGAATGACGGCACCCAACATCATCCATGCAGGGACACGGCCAATCATCCCGTCAGAGCACATTACGATTCATCATGTAGCTCAGGTGAGGGCGATCCCAGACTTTGCGGTCGTCGTCCCGTTATTCGTAGGCAGAGACCTTTTGAACTTCGTCACCGGCCTGCTGTCAGGCGCAAGCTCGGCAGTGGAGCTGCCAGCAACTGCCTTCGACGAAGCAACTACAAGGGCGTTGTCGTGTGGAAGCGGCCGTGTATGGCCGTGTCAAAGGCCCCGGCGGTGAAGTCAACGACGCCAGAGCAGCTGTGGTTTGGAGTGGGCATCGTGTTCGGGATCCGTGATGTGCCGAGTGACCTGCACTGTGCGGGAGTTATCGGGATCTCGAGAACGCAACACCTCTTCGACATTCCACTGCCACCGCGACTGGCCAAATGTGCATAACTCGTTCACCCTGCACACAGCCAAAGGAGCGACACAAGCAAGGCAATTCGACCTCATCCGAGGAGCAGCACGCTTGGGAACAAGTGTACAGCAGAATTAGCAGCTTCTGTTTCGTGCTGGTGGTGACAGCTTGGGACCGCAGGGGAGGGCCGATCGAAGGAGCCAACCCAAGAACGCAGAAAGCACACAAGCCTTGGCAGCGAGCGGATTCAAAATTGAGGATGCAGCCTCCCAGCTCCAGATATGCTTTGAGTGCCCAGGGGTGTGCACGGTGTGCAGGAACTCCTGCAACTGCGAGTTGAAGCTCTGTTCAAAATGCTTTTGGCTTAGAATGTTATCAGCTCCAGTACATATGGCGTGTGGGTTCTTGCTGGCGGCTGGCGTGTCGGTTCTTGCTGGCAAGACGGCGAAGTGAGGCATGCAGTAGAAGTACCCGATTCCGCCGGGGCCGAGTCGAAATTGCGACTGGAGGACCCCTGGATGCGCTTTGCTGCGCCTTGCAGAAGGTAAGTCTTGAATAGCCATGCAGGACTTCCAGCGCTCCTACCTTGGATATTTCGACAGGCATTGAACAGCCATGTGATCTCATGTGTCTGACGAAGGAGGGCTGTTCAGTGCAGCGCAGGGCCGCAAGTCTGCTCAACGATGCGTGCACAGTGCCACGGAATGAGGAGCTGCGGGCCCAGGTTCTGCCTAATTGCATCCTGTGACTATACAGAAGCACGGGTGTTCTCAGGTCACTGCCATCGACGGCATCAACATGTTGCTTGCAATAGCTGCTGCTTATGCGAAGTACAAGCACAAGTCTTGGGGAAGCCTGTGGAGCAAGTGACGGCTTCGTGATGCTTGATGTAAAACCACCGCGAACTGCACAGGAAGCTGCCATTACCCGGAAGCGGAAGCAACAGACTCTTCACATTCATGAAGTGCTTCCGCCACTGTGGCTACTGTTGTTGCCCATGCCAGGCTAGGTGGAGATTCAGTGGTGAAGTCATCAATGGCAGGCAACTCGAACCGTAGGGCTCTCCGCATCGAGAAGACGACGCAACATCACCGTAGTGTACTTAAACGCTCGAAGGGTCAGCAAACAATGAACAAGCGAGAGGCTGCAGGCATCTTGCGAGATAGGGTGCTTTCCATGTTCAATAGTTGCAGAGGGAACAGTAGTGTGCATGGCGCTACATGGCACTTCCTGGAGCTGTTGATGTGGAAGAAGACATCTTGGATGCCCGTGTCTGCCAAAGTGACAAGGCAGACTGGCGGCTTTGATTCACACCAACTTGCAGCAGTTCTGCCACCATGCCTCCTGTAACAACTCGGTAGATCACCAGCTCAAGCCTGAGCTAGCAGTAGGTTTGCGGGCAGACATAGACACCAATCTGCACTCAGGACGACGGTAAATCGCAACTTGGCAGAGTCTGGCTAACATCAAGATCCCTTTGTTGCCTGGCCAAGGGCATAGGAATGTGAAGCTCGAAGAGATTGAGGAATCGCGTGCTTTGACAGGTCTTGTAGTCCGTCTGCTTATAGGATGTAGAAAGCTACGAGTAATTCCTGTTGTGGAGTCTAGGCGCATTCCACCGAGGCATAAGGCAGGACGTGCATTAGCGGGTCTGCAGGACGGGTGCGCAAGTCCCAGAGGCTGGTCTCCTCGGGTAAGCCTGTGGATCCTTACGGTCCTCGGCGCTCAGTATTCTGTTGGTCCCGGTTAGCCTTGCAATGGCGTTGCTTCATGTTCCACGAATGTGAACAGAGACCGACCACACGGAGTATGTGCTTGGCTTGACTTGTCCCAGAAATGTTCTCCGGTACTTCAGGATGTAGTCATACGGCGAACTAGTTGCACGCACGCACACACGCACGCACACACACACACACAGAGACACAAACAAGCAAACACACACACACA